AGAGGGCTGGGTGAAGAGGATGGGGTCAAGGCTCTCTGGGCACCCTGCAATGGCCAGAAGTGTGCACCACCTCCACTGCCCTTTGGGCTGCGCCTTAGGAGAGTCTGAGTAGGGAGAAGTAGGGTAGTTGAAGGGGGTCAAGACAGGGGTGGGCAGTTGGGGAATTGGGGTCTGTGCTGGGGACCTTTGAGTTTAACAAGGGAGACCTGGTGGTGGGGGGTTCAGGGCCCCAGAGCTGGAGACAGAGAAAGAAGGAGACAGCGGGGAGGGTGACAGGAGACCCAAGAGAGCTCTGAGAGGCACGAGGCGCTGTGCACGCAGGAGGCCCACTCACGGGGTGCCAGATTGGCTCTGCACACACCTATTGTTTTCACTGTGGCTCACGAACTGAACTCTCCTCCTCCAGCTGGGGGAGAGGGCGGCTGCTGGAGCTGCCACCTCCTCTCCTCCCTTCTTCCCTCCCTCCAACCCTCAGAGGACCCTTCTGTACCTGAAGGGCACTGTTTTGTAGGCTTCGACCCCTTTCTGGGCAAGGGAAAGCAGCTGGCAAGGTCAGGATTTGTAGGGGAGAAGCCAAGGGCCCTTAGGGGAGGGTGGACAACACTGAGTCTTGGCTTGAAGAGGTCTCTCCAAGGCTGGGTTCTCACACTGGGCTCAAGGTGAAGCTTTGCCGCGTCCCCAAGGCCAGGGCAGGGCGATTTATTGTGCTTTTATTGCCTGGGTAGCTTGCCCAGAGCCAGCAGGAGGCACCGGGCTGGGAGTTGGGGGCCGGGCGGGGCAGCAGGCACACACAATGCACCCTCTGTGCCTGTCCTCGAGTTGGCAGGAGTGCGGTGCCCTGCTCACTGCACTGGAGGTTTCCAGCCTGGATCTACCCCTCTCAGGCGTTCTGAGGGAGAGGCTGCCTGCAGACCAAGAAGGAACTGCAGCAACCCCAGCCCTAAGCTCGTCAGCATCTTGTCTGTGGGCTGTGAGTTTAGTGACCCAGATGCTCTGAAATCCCACCAGATCCTGGCCCCCTGCTGCCTGTGCCCAGCCACTCCTCAGTGTCCCCTTAACCCCTGCCATTCTCCCAGAATACCCCAGCCCTGGCACCTTTCTCTGAGATGCCTGGTCCTTTCCATCTTTTGGAAATTGTCTCCAGCTGCCCACACAGTTCCCTTCCTAGGCCCTATCCCAGCAGGCCTTGGTGGTGTTGGGGGGGTGGGTGGTGTTTGCTGCTTTCTAGGTCACCACAGAGGGAGCTGGAAGCTTGGGGATGTGGGTCAAGATTGTGGGGGCCGCACTGAGCACGCCACATCCCCAGGCACAGACTTCACTGGCTGCAGACTATTATGTCCTTGTCTCAGAGTTGTTCCTACCTCTTAGAGGCTGGGGCAGAGGTGCATGGAGTGGCATCTATGATGGGGCAGTGCCAGGGGGTGTCGACCAAGCCCAGCAATAGGTGTGGGCAGTATTGGGGTGAGTAGTGAGCTCTTAGCCAGCTAGGCACTCCCCCAGAAATTAAAAGGGACTAATCCCCTGGGCCCTGGCCTAGGGGCTCTGTGCCTTTTGCGTTGGGCTGTAGCTGGTGGACACTATGTTCACTACCAGGTCCTTAGAGAAGCAGCACCCCAGCCAGGGAATGTTAAGCTGCTGATGTGCCTGCCTGGTCTTGTCCAGCTTGGTACCCTATGGCCTGGTGCTAGCCTCTGGGGGTGGGAAGGGGCAGCATTTTTGGACAGCTTAAAAGCCAAATATGATCAAGAGTCTGCCCCCTGCTGCTTTGGCCCTAGTCTGGCCCCCAGCAGGCTGACCTGTAGCCTTCAGCTTTTGAATTATACCACTGAAGGGATTAGCTCTGCCTTAGGCCCATGGAAGGAGGCTGGGTGCTGGGCCACACGCCTCTCCAACTGTAGAGGCTGTTTCTTGGGCCTTGCTGACCCTGCCTTCCTGGGTGCCCCTGTGGCAGCCGTGCAGCGCATTGCCGAGTCTCACCTGCAGTCCATCAGCAACCTGAGCGAGAACCAGGCCTCAGAGGAGGAGGATGAGCTCGGGGAGCTGCGGGAGCTGGGCTACCCAAGAGAGGATGAAGAGGAGGAGGAGGATGAAGAAGAGGAAGAAGAGGAGGAGGACAGCCAGGCTGAAGTCCTGAAGGGCAGCAGGGGCTCTGGTAAGCTGCAGGGACTGTGAAGCCTGAGTCCCACCACCATAGGTCAGGTGAAGTCCTCCTGGAGTGGCCTGGGACACACCTTCCCAGTTCACAGTTTCTCACACATGTAAACTGCAATCACACTACAAGGGCCTCCTCATTCTCTCACCCCACAGGATGCCTCCCACTCAGCTTTACCTGAAAGCTGGGCTGCTCACATCCTTGCCTCAGCCATCTCCCAATCAGCTTTTCCCTAATAATTCCTCTCTTCTCTAAGAATTAAGGCAAGGCCACATGAATTTTGCAGCTGGACCCAAGGAAGGACTTCCTATCCATGGTGGTGAGGGGGTGCAAGGAGATGCAAAGATTGTCCAATGACCCCATCACTTGCATTTCTAAACGTAGGATGTGGTCTCTGTTGGGAGGCAGAGGGGACTCGCTGCTAAGTCCTCTTCAAGACTCTGCAACTGTTTTTCTTTTATTTCCTAGGCTGGGGTAAGAGGGTGCCCTCTAGTGTCTAGACAGAGAATCTAGGATTCAAGAGCCATCTGATCCTCAGCACCTCCCACCCCAGCTACCTGGGAAAAGAGGGATAAGGGAGGGGTCTAAGACCTACACAGAGAGCCTCAGAGCCAGAGGCCCCAAATCCAACAGTCTCCACAGAGGTTTGCAAGGTCCAGAGAATTTCTAGGCAGAAAGATCTCAGACCTCCATGGTTGTTTGTCCCATGCCTGGCCATGGAAGGCTGCGTGTCTATTCCTCCTAGTGCACACGAAACATTTTGGTCCCATTATTTATGGGGGTGAAAACAGTTGACCACTCCTGCTTGATGTGTCCAGCCTTTATACCCAAATGGAATGTCTTGGGCCTCCTCTCTGCACCTCTTGCCATCAGGACGTCAGCCATGGGAGCAGAAGCTCTAGCTAGAGGAATTAAGTCGACTCCTGCTGAGACCCCCCAGAACAGGTAGAGAGGAGGTGAGAGGAGACTATTTCCTCCAGAAAAGCAACAGGGCAGTGGATTGAATGACAAGACTACTAAGGAGCTATATCAGTTGCCACCACTCCCAGAGTGGCTCCTGGGTACAAGCACTGGACTAGGCAGGGTATTAACTGTCACATTACTTAAGGTAATTTGCACAACTTCCCTCTTACCATCCCCTTCAGAGAGGTAATAAACTGAATTATCTAAGTAATACGGCTAGTCATTGGCAGAGCTGTTCATCAGGTACTCTCTGCTATACCATGATGGCCTCAGAAAGCTTAGCCTCAGCTACCGGAGACTCAGCTCATGATCCAGGACAGTCAGATGGACACCGAGCCTGTGGTTTTATCCATTTTCTCCCATCCCCAGTTGGGCAGAAGACAACTTGTGGCCAGGGTCTGGAGGGACCCTGGGAGCGTCCGCCCCCTCTGGATGAGCCCCAGAGAGATGGAAGCTCTGAGGACCAAGTGAAAGACCCCACACTAAGTGGTGAGGCTTGGAATTGGGGTACAGGGAGGCAGAGCTGGGATCTTGGTAGACATGTTCAGGCCCTGAGTCTCTCTGCTTGTCTTGCAGAGCCTGGGGAGGACCCACAGCGCCCTGCCCACCCTGTGCCTGGCACATAGGCACTCAGCCCTGCATCTCCCAGAAGGAAGCGGAGGGGGCATCACTGTTCTCCAGAAACCCATTCTGTCCCCACCCTATTTTCTTCCCTTCCCCTCACTCGCTAGGGCTGCAGCTTCTAACTTCTAGAAGACTAAATTTGGTCTGTGTTTGCTTGTTTGCCCACCTTTGGCTGATGCCCAGAGTCCTGGGCACTTGCTGCCTGATGCCTACCCCTGCCATTCATTCCCCTATTCACCCAGTGGGAGGCAGGATGTGAGAGAGCTTGCTTGGAAAATCCAGTAATTGAGGGACAAAGGTTCATCCTTCACAATTCTACTCCCAGACCCTCTCCCTTGGGCACAGGAAAACCACAGGGCAGGACCCTAAGATCTGAGGAAAGGGTATACAGAAAATCTGTAGGTGCCCTAGACCCATCTCCATCCCCTCTCCTCCTGAGGGAGTCCCAATTACCACCCCTCTTACTGGCTTCTACCAGGGAGGAGGATTCAAGCATCCTTCAACAGTCTCTTCATTTTGGAAATCTTCCCTTATCACCCCTGCTCCCCAGCCTGGGTGCCTAGAAAATGGACTGGCAGAGGCCGCTTTGTTGCGTTTGTGTGTGTGTGTGTGTGTGCTTTGATGCCAGGAATGCCACCTAGTATACATCCTTGGGGTGGGGGGCACTTGTTGAGGGGAAGCCAGGTTCTTCTTGTCTTCCAGCTGCTCTGCCCCCTTCCCCTCTTCCCTGACTCCAGACCTGAACCGCTCCTGTGCTGTAATAAATCTTTGTAAATAAAGGTGCCGAGGCTCTTTTTTTCAGGGAAAAGGAAAGGGAGGAGGAAGTGACAGGTTGCTCTCCCCCCACACCATGGGGAAGACCTGGTTAGTGTTCATCGAGTCAGGGCCTGAGGAAAACAAGCTTGGGGCACTCTTAGGAAAGACCACAAAAGTTCTAGATCCTGCTAGGGATGGCCGAAAGAGGCAGGGGAGGAAAGAGAACAGAAGTGCTTCAAGAGTCATTGTGGATTCCTCCGAATCCCGTCCCCCTGGCACCACAGGCCTCCTTTCAGGAAGTTCCCCTATTTTGCACTGTACCCCGGAACTTCTTTCCCTTTCCCACAATCCTAGGAAGTCCCTCTTGAAGTCTAACTTAAGCAGCAGCCCCCATTTCCGGCTCTCGGGGCCGGGGTTGGGGCGGAGGCCCGGGCGAAGGGGCGGGGCCGCAGTCAGACGCACGCCCCCGTTCGCGCTCCGGGGCGGACTCAGCGGCGGAAGTGGTGCCGCCGCGAGATCCCCTTCCGCTCGGAGGCGCTGCAGGGGCCGCGGAGCTGACTGCGGCCGGGGCAGGAGAGCCCGGCCGAGGGCTGACATGCAGCAGGTGGGTCCAGCAGAGGTCACTGGGGCTGGGTAGTGCCACGAGAGTTGTGTAGAGGATCCCGCCTTCCTGCCCGGTGTCCGTTCTTGGTTCCGTCCGACCCCTCCCACACCCCTTCCGTCCCGGGTTCCGCCCCCTTCCTCTGCGCGGCCTCGCTTGGTCTAGCGAGGGTCGGGCACCTCTCACGCCCAGCGGCCAGCCCACGCGAGAGGTGTCCCGGGTCACCCTCCAGAGCTTCCCTGTTCACTGTGAAGGCAGAGGCGAGGGGGGCGGTATCTGGGTATTAAGGGCAGGAGTTGGATACGGGGAGGGGTCAGGGTTTCCTAATGAGGAGGATAACTACGCGTTTCGTAAATCTGAGTCTCACTGATATCCGGTCTCCCTCGACTTCCTTCGGAATGACTTTCGAATTGACATATAAAGGGCCCTTAAAGTATCTTTCTTGAGTTTTTAGAGGTGCATAACACCGGTGACATTCATTCCTAACTGCATAATTGACACATGCCCTCCTCCCATTATTTGGGGTTCCTCCGCCGTCAGCATCTCCTTATTTTCTTCCTATTACTCTGACAGTGGGAGTGCCGTTTCACATTGTCCTCTGCTCCAGCCCCTCACTCTGTACACTGAATCTGGATGGTCTCATCTACTTTCAGGGCTTCAGCTTCACACCACTTAAATACCCGAAACACGCCCAGATCTACAATTTAAGGGCAGCCCCTCTCAGGAGCCCCAGACTTGGCCATCCAGCTACCTACCAATTGGACAGCTCCACTTCAGCTGAACTCACTGTTTGAATTTGAAGGGGTCTTTCCCCCTGCAGACTCATTCTTCTCCAGCCACCCTGTTCCAGCAAAAAACCTAGGCATTATCTTAGTTTCTCTTCTCCCTCAACCCCCACATCTAAGAGGTGATGTAGCCCAGCTAACTTCCTTCTTTTCTGTTACCACCTTTGTTGATGCATTTCTCACCAGATGATTGCATTGGCTTCCCAGCAACTTCCAATCCTGGCTGCCTGCACCCATTCTCCAAACTGTAACTCTTGTGATTTATTTATTTATTAAATATGTTTTTATTGATGTTTTTAGAGAGAGAGAGAGAAACATCAATCGGTTCCCTCCTGCACTCCCCCTAATGGAGATGGAGCCTGAAACCGGAGCATGTGCCCTGACCAGGAATGGAACCAGGACCTCTCAGTCCATGGGATGACACTCAATCCACTGAGCCACACTGGCCAGGTTCTTGTGATCCTTTTAAAACACAAGTCTTACTGTGTCACTACCTTGCTTAAAACTCTTTGATGGCTTGCATGGCAAGCATTAATCCCATTACTTGTGGGAAAGGCTGAATTGCTAGCACAATTTACAGAGCTCTCTATGATCTGAGACTCTTATTTACACTCTGAGGTACAGTAATGTGGTACTTGCAGGATGCACTTGCTCACATTTTGCTATTCTGTGTTTTGGTCTTTGCGCACACCAGTCCCTCTACCTAGAAAGCCCCTTTTCTTCTTACCTGCCAGGCTACCCTCTATTTGTCCTTCAGAGTGCTCTGTTCAGGCAGCTTGGCCTCTGGATCACCTTTCCCCAACCTCCAAGCTATGTCCCTGAAGCACCCTGTCTCAATAGCATAGTGGTTGAGAATGCAGACTCCCGAATCCGGCTTCCTGGGTTCTGATACTGTTTTGTGTCCTTGATGAAGTCAGTGCTTGTTTCCTCCTTTGTAAAACGGAGATAGCAATGTGCCCACCTTACAGAATTATTGTGAGGATTAAATAAAATAATGTGTATATAGGGCTTAAAACAGTGAGCACATGAGTGCTCAATAAGTGTTATCTATTATTGTTTATATAAGAACAATATAGAGCAGTGGTTATGACTTTTCATTAAGCCTGGCTTTTTGTCAATAAGTAAAATGCTGTGGTGGAGGGCATTAGGGGTAGGAGCTGGATTTATCGAGTGAGGATTTAAGAATGAGAAAACCCAGGCCCGACGTCTCTGCTCAGTAAATGAATTTGGAAATGGACAAATGTTACATGGCAAGCATTAATCCCAGAGAAATGTGCACAAAGCTCTGAGAACCCAAGGCAGAGAAAGGTCAAGGATGGCTTCCCAGAATTGCCAACAATTAATGAGGGGGCCTTAGTGCAAGAGGATGAGTTTGCCAAAAGGAGGTGGAAACTCTGGTGGGCTCACAGAATGGAGAGCTGGTTCCTCTGAACTGAGGTCTTGGGGGAGTGGGGCTTAGCTGGGCAGGAGGGCAAAGGCAGCCTCCTTTGCTGAGATTGGGGATTCCTTTTCTTGATGGGCTATGAGGAGGTGCCACTTGGATTAGGAGCCTGCAGGTACCATGCCCTGGGGTGGTCCAGGGACCTGGTGCTAGGTCTTTGGAGGCAAGCCCCTTGGGGTAGGCTCAGTCTGTGGGCTGGGTCTGTGCTTTAGACCAGAAGCTGGACCTTTGCTCATGCTGTTTTGCCCACCTGGAATGCTCATCCTCCTTGCCTCCAGGGATAGATGCATAGATTCTTCAAGGCCTAGGTCAGATGGCTCCTCCTCCCTGTGGCTTTCCCAACCTCGTGTCCTCCAGCCTGGGTCAGATCCTCCTTTCTCTGGGAGCCCATGGTCCTTTTTGTTTGTACCTCCCTAAAAGCACTGATCACACTGTAGAGTCATTTATTATTCATCTCCCTTACCAGACCAGGGATTAGCAGTGCCTGACACATTGTAGGCTCTAGCATATGTGTGCTGCATTAATTTGGGCTCTTGCCCACCTAGACTTTTGCAGGTGAGACCAAAAATCCTGTACATTTGACCACTCATACTTGTTCCTTTGAGTGGCAGAGATTGTTAGCTCCATTTTACAGATGAGGAAGCTGAGACTTGGCAGGTGAGGTCAAGATCGCTCAGCAGGAACTTAAGAACTGTCTCCTTACTGTGGGTCAATAGCTGTGTCCTGAAACTGCCTCAGAGTCCTAGCCCCCAAAGGGGGCAGCTGCCACATCAGTGGGACAAGGGACAAGGAGGCCATCCCATCTGACCAGTTGTGTATCACAGTTGTGAACTTAATCTGGCTGGGAAGTGACTGATCCAGACTTCTGTCTCATTAGGGCTGGTACTGGGAGGAGTCTGAGTTGAACCACTACTACTCCTGCAGGGGACTTCCCTTGAGTGGGCTGATAGGACTGAGATCTTTCCCGGAAAATGACTGGCCCTTTCCAGACTGACCTTGAGAACTTCATCTCATTAGCCCCAGATTTTACCAATAAGGAGTGGGGTGGGGCCTGACTCACCAGTCCCTGAGTAGGCCAGGGTCATAGAATCACAGACCTTGGGGCATCCCGACATATAACAGGGTCTGGAGTGCAGAGGGGGCAGGAGGGCTGAGCGGATCTCAGTTTGTTAGGGTTTTCCAGTAAACTACGGTCACAAGAGGGTACAGTGATGAATGTAGTTTCTGTTTTGGCTTGACTCGTCCCTTTTCACTTCCCCAGAAGGAAGGCAGAAACGAGTCTGGCTTCGGCTTTGCAATCTCATTTGTTACTGCTGCAAGTGTCCTCTCTTTGAACTCCTTCTTGTCCAGGAAACTTCTCAAACCTTCTGTGGGTGGGGCAGAGTAGGGGCCAGTCAGCCATCTGTGCCAAGGCTGATGGCATGGGCCACTGAGACTTGAATTACAGGAGAGCCTAATATGTGCCATCCTAGGTCAGCTCCCTCAGGCCAGAGCCCGTCCTTCCATCCAGAAGTAATGTTGGGACCCTCAGTTTGGTGAGAAGTGCCATGTACTGGACATGCCTGGCCCAGGGCCCTGCCTCTAACACTGTACCTCATGGCCCCTAATAGTAATAATAGCTACTGTTAATTAGGCATAGGCACTTTGCATGTGTTATTTCTAATCCTTTTTAAAAAATATGTTTTTATAATTGATTTTTTTTAGAGAGAGAGAAACATCGATGTGAGAGAGAAGCATAGTAGGGTAGACCCAGAGACGTGGAAGTAGGACACAGACTGACAACCCTCAGAAGAGAGGGTGCTGGGGGGAGGGAAGAGATAAACCACAGAACTTAAATGCATGTACGCATAACCAATGGACATGGACAACAAAGGCGGGGATGGGGTGGGGGGGATGGGGAGGAGGATGTCAATGGGGTAAAAAAAGAGAAATATCTGTAACAAAAAAAAATATATATATATATATATATTATATATAATTCGGCCCTGGCTGGTTTGGCTCAGCGGTTGGAGCGTCGGCCTGCGGTACAGAGAGACCCGGGTTCGGTTCCCGCTAAGGGCACATACCTCGGTTGCAGTTTGTCCCCGGCCCTGGTTGGTTGTGCGGGTGGCAGCCACTCGATGTGTCCCTTCACATCGACGTTTCTCTCTCTCTCTCTTCCTCTCTCCCTCCCGCTCTATCTGAACAAAAAATGGAAAAATGTCCTCGGGTGAGGATTAAAAAAAAAAAAAAAAAAAATTTTGATTGGTTGCCTACTACATGCCTCCTACTGGGGATCAAGCCTGCAACCAGGGCATGTGCCCTGACTGGAGATTGAACCTGATTTCTGTCCATGGGATGACCCTCAATCCACTGAGCCAGTACAGCTGGGCTCTAATCCCTTTTAATAGTTTTGCGAAGTGGGCACTATACTGCTCTATCCCCATTTTATAGATGAAGAGGCTGATGTTCAGAGAGTGATTTGGTGAAGGGCACACAGCCTAATAAAGAAGGCCTTGTGCCCTGGCCAGTTTGGCTCAGTGGTTAGAGCACTGGCCCGTGGACCCAAGGGCTGTGGGTTCGATTCCCAGTGTCTCTCTCACATTGATGTTTCTCTCTCTCTCTCTCTCCTTCCCTCTCTTCTACTCTATTACAAAAAAAAAAAAAAATCAATGGAAAAATATACTCAGATGAGGATTAACAAAAAAAAAAAGGAATGTCCTTGGGTTTTTGACTCATGCCCTTTCCCCTGTTACAGGGTGGACATTACAGACACCAGTGAACTTACTGGACAAGTA